TTCCGTGGCAGAAGAGGACGAGCTCGGCTTGCCGCATCATGTTTGGTGCTTCCGTCCAGAATTCAGCAGCAGCAGAAATCATCACAGCGGCTGTCTGCTAGTGGCTCTGACGGCTCTGCACGCGTCGCTCAGCCCTGTGAGTTTTTTAAGCCTCATATTCGGTTGCGGAACGAAGGCTAAAGCAGCATCTGTGTTCCCCACGTGGCGCCTCGCCTGACTGCAGCTGCTTTTTTTACTCCGCGCCTGGAGAGGCTTTGCCACCAAAATAATCAGAGGAACAGAGACTGAGCAGTCCTCACACAGCTTTACTAAATATGGACAGAGCTGTGTGAGAGCCATAAACACCTGCCCAGGACCGGTTCTGCTGCGCCAGTGCGCCTCTTCCACACTAAAGCAGCGTTTCAACAGAGAAAAGCTGCAGAGCAGCCGATGAGGAGGGAGTCTGAGGTGCAGAAACACAAGAAAACTGCTGCTCTTCTGCTTCAAATGAGAGAAACCGGAACCTATCTCAGTCCCAAAACACATCACCGTACCCTGCAGGCCAAAGAGAATCCCCCCTACAGAAGGAATGTAGAGTGATGTTGTGAAAACCCCCGGGGTTGGCCTGGCACCGTCTAGGGGTGGATGCGTCCTCCATCACCCACAGAGCCTCCCACACCACAGTGTGCCCCGTCATCCAGCAGGTCATCGGCTGCAGGTCGGGGGGGGGGGAGCGTGCCTTCTCCCATGCAGCCCCCAGACTCTGGGGCACCGCCCCTCCATGTGCGTTTGACTCAGTCTGTCAGCAGGTTCAAGTCTTCAAACACTCCTAATTCCCTCCGTGACCCTCTTTCTGAAACTTTTCTTAACTGAGATTTTATGATTCTGCAGCTCACTTTTGAACACTTTGCACCATCTTGTCCAATCCAATCCAATTTTATTTATAGAGCGCATTCACAAGGCATTACAACCAAACAAGGCGCTGTACACTAAAAATGTTAGTTAATTAAACCGGCGGTATACAAACATGTCGAACACAGATAAAAGATAAAAAGGAAATACAGCAAAATTCCCAAAACTAACAGCTAAAAATCAATAAGACACAGGGAGAATAAAAAATTAGCATAGCATAGCATAGCATAGCATAGTTTATTTATATAGCACATTTAAAATGCAGCATGGGAGCTGCCCAAAGTGCTGCACAGGCTAAAACAAAACACACCCATTACAAGGAGCTAAAACTAAGGATAAAATCTCAATTAAAAGCAGAGAAAACATGAATAATAAGAACACATTAAAACAATGACACAATAAAACACTAAAACGAGTCACTGTCTAAAAGCCAAAGTGTAAAAGTGGGTCTTTAAACGAGATTTAAAAACCGCCAGAGATGGAGCCTGCCGAACTCCAATGAAAAACATTTTAAAAAGAACCTCAATAGTACGGAAGTTGATATCGTAAAGTCCATTTTTAAACAGTGCAGATGTAAGTGAGGTTCATAATTATGTGGTATAAGCTAGGTTGAAGTAGTGAGTTTTCAAGCGTGATTTTAAAATGCTAGCTGTTGGTGCTTGCCTCACTAGCAGTGGTAATGCGTTCCACAGCTTCGGTGCACAGACAGAGAAAGCCCTTTCTCCACGGCTTTTTAAACGTGCATTCGGAACAGCTAGGAGGAGCTTATCTTCAGACCTGAGAGCACGCGGCGGGTTGTAGCGTATTTGGTTTTACAGAGTTCAGTTTAAGTTACTGACTTTTGTATTTAAATCGCTAAACAACCTGGCACCTCCCTGTCTCTCTGACCTGCTCACTCCATATGTACCCACGCGCACGTTGAGGTCGGCTGACCTTTTGCTGCTGTGCACGTCGTGGGTGCGATACAAATCGCGGGGTGAACGAGCATTTGTGCATGCTGCCCCAAAGCTGTGGAACTCGTTGCCCATTGGAGTTCGGCAGGCTCCGCCACTGGCGGTTTTTAAATCTCGCTTAAAGACCCACTTTTACCATTTGGCTTTTAGACAGGGACTCGTTTTAGTGTTTTATTCTTAGTATTCCTCGTGTTTTGTCTGCTTTTGACTGGTATGTTTATCTTCTGTTTTAGTCCCTTAGAATGGTCGTGTTTTGTTTTAGCCTGTGCAGCACTTTGGGCAGCTCCCATGCTGCGTTTTAAACGTGCTATATAAATAAACTATGGTATGGTAATTGTGCTATTTCACATGGTTTTTATCACTCGCTGCGTTGTTTTTACCTTGGATAGTGCTGTTACCTTTGACCTGTTCTCCTGTTCTGGAGGAATTTTGTCCTCGATTATTTATTTAACCTGATTTCCATGTTTTGACTTGGTTTTGCTGATACGTTCGAGCATGTGGCTCTTTGGCGCTTTGGTTAGCTGCCATGCTATTTTTAAAGGTGGTTTATAAGTAAATAGTTATGGTATGGTATGTTTTAGTTGTTTCCCTGCTCCAACACACCTGATTATTATCAGTAGGTGATTAACAGACTTCTTGAGAGCCTGATGACCGGGTGATTCAGCCATTGAATTAGGTGTGTTTGAGCAGGGAAACAACTAAAACATGCTAGACAGCTCTAGACCATCTGTTATCATTTGGTCAAAGAGGTTCCATCACGCCGGGGTTCTGCTGCTGGACGCTCGCTCCGGGCCCAGTCACAAGCTTTCTCTCTACTTGGCTGCAGGGCGATGCGGTGTCATGGTCTGGGCTTTGTTTGGCTGCTTCTGTAAGCGTCTGCTTTGTTTCTGCTCAACGCTGCTCTGATTTATGTCCTCCGGTTTGACTTTCTGCTGCTGGTGAGCTGATGTCGGCAGCCTCGCGGGAACAGAACCGTGTGTTTAACAGTTAGGACCAGTCCTGGACCTGGGATGAACCAGCAAGTATATTTATCTGAGCAGGAACACGTCTAAAACATGCAGGGAAAAAATCCAATGCTTTCTTTTCTTCACCAAAGTTTTACTCGACATTCGGGGAGTTGTCTTTGTCCTTTCGTGACGTCGACCTGCTTCCACAGACTTGGTGACTCCAGAGTGTTCTGTAACGACACGGTTGCTAGGCCCGCCATGCCTCGTCCTCATCTTAATTGCATCTGTCGGATCCGTTTCACGATAACTTCTGCAAAATAATTACCCAGCACTAAGCCCACTGGGGAGGCGGGAGCACACAGCATCCGTGGCTCTGTCTGCTGGCTGGCTTCCCTCATCAAAGACCTTTTGGAGCACCAGGTTTCAGACGGAAGCAGAAGTCCTAGTTTTCTGTGTGGAGGTATCTGATCTGCAGCTGAAGGCATCAGAAAATGCTTTTGCCGTCTTTCATTCAGCACATCTCATCAAATGTAGTTCTGATCGTTCATATCAGTGCACAGCAAGATTTATTTGACTAGAAAACCTGGGGGTGGATCGGCAGCAATTCTTTTATCTCAGCATCTGATTTAGCTCCCAAAGGTCAGAAGAGCCATGATGATGATCGCTGCTGATGCAGGAGTTTATGCGGAGAGTTTCCCTGGGAAGACGCCAGGTTTGGTTTGTGTTTGAGCTCATCTGTGTATGAACATGACTCCGGCTCAGCAGAGCAGTAAGACACATTCAAATGATCCACCAGGGACTCGCAGAGGACATTAAACTTCCTGATAAAGAGAACCCATCCAGGAGAAAATGAGAAAAATATAAACATCAAAAAGGCGTGGGGGACCTTTTACCGAGGAATAAAATCCCAGCTAGTCCCAACGCGGAAAACAGGAAGTACATTAGAAAGAAGAGCAGGAGTGGAGCACAGGGAAGGGCTTGACACTAAGAGTTAGAAAAACAATTTAAAAACTTTATCATGAAACACCATAAATCCTCTGACCTCATCGATCAGCTGATCAGTTTTCTCTTCGGGTGGGGGTTGGGTTCACGAGCAGAACAGAAAATCTCTTTTAGGCCAAAAACACAACAAATAAATAAAGTGTGATTGCTGAGAACAAACTTGTGTGCAGGTGATGCAAACAATTTTAGAGGAACCGAGTGTTCAGAAAGTCCCCGGTTAAAGTAAAAGTTACTTAGTTGCATTTTTGTCAGTGTAAGGATGGCTAAATCTAAGTAGTGCATAATCACAACGCAGGTTCACAACACGCTCGTACACACACACACACACACACACACACACACACACACACACACACACACTGCAGCATGTTAGAATCATGTGAATGACTAATTTAACTACATTGAACTGCTTTTGTAATAATTTAATCTCTTATTCTGGAGTAAAATAAAGAAACAAGCTAAATCATCACAAATCTGCGGAATCAAGAAGCATCTTCTGAGTTCAAACAGGGATGGAGCACAATGTTTACACCTGAACAGTACCAGGATGTTTTCACTCAAAGAGGCCTGCAGGTCTTCTGTTTTATGAGCAAAGCGCTGATAATCCGCTTGTTATGAGCTATAAACGTTATTTTGCCGCTTCCGTGCGGAGCGGTAGGGAAACACGTTTCAAACACGGAACCGAGTCTGGTTACTGAACCGAGCAGAATTCTGATGACGTCACACCGGTGCGCTAAAGTGCGGGTTCCAACCCACAGGAGAGGAGGGAGAGAGGACGTAAACAGCGAGTGGATCACAGAGACTGAACTGATGTTGTTGAGCAAAACTGCAGTAAAAATGTCTGTTTGTCCTCATTATCTAAGGTGTACCCACCTCCCCCCCCCCCCCCCCCCACCCCCACCCCCGTCTAGACGCGGCGCTCAAGCAATATTTTTAATTCATTAAGCTAATATTTATTTTTAATCAGTAACGGATATGATTTAAAATATAGCGAATTACAATTCTTTTAAAAAACATACTCTAGTAAAACTACAGATTTTCAAAACGACTTAAAAAGTATTACACAAAAAAGCTACTCAATTACAGTAAAGTAATTAGTTACTTTCCACCTCTGCTCACTTGTAAACAAGATGCTTAATCTCAAGTGGTTTTATATCCTTAAATATAAGTCAATAACTAAATAAATGAAAACAAATTAAATTATGCGCATATTTAATTGATAATTATGCAAATTTAGAGTGGCACACACGTTTTTTGCTTATTTTTTCACCATCGTAAAACGGATTGCTTAGAAAACCAAAGAGTACATCTCCCACCGTCGAGCCGCTCGTTTTGATGTATAACTTGGGAGGGTGCACGTGTTAACGTCCACAGAAGAAGAATAAAGGTGATCAGGAGCACAACATAAAGGGCCCTGCCAGCGTCTGCGTGTGCTCTATATGACGTCATCAAAGGCTCGTCAGTCAGTAGTAGACTCCACAGCTCACTGTTAACACACGTGTGACAGAGCTCTCATGAGAATCGTCGCGTTTTTGACTTTCTCTCTCAAACACAAGAATATTTACACAAAGACCCAGAAATGCCTGGAAACAACGTCTCTAGTGAAACAAAACCGTCTTGGTATGCAAGGGCGTAGGAACCGGGGGGGACGGGTGGGACGTGTCCCCTCCAATATTGGACAAACGCGCATTTGTCCCCCCCAATAACATGGAGAAGAAAAAGATTGATTTTGAAATATTTGGCTCGCGAGCTTTTATTTTGAAAGACACCGCGGACTTCTCTCCGACACAGCCCCTCCCCTCAGGGAGTTAGCTGGCTGAGTGATGGAGCAGGACCCTTCTCGGAGTTGGAGCCAGGGTAGACACAGGTGTCAGAGAGACGGAAGCAGCTCAGCAAGTTCTTCTCATGGGCAAAAAAATAAAGAAAGGAATTGTGAGTTGGTAATAATTTAGTCCAAGAGTATAATTGTATTTCTGGTCAGACGCTAAAATGGCTGACTAGCGTAAACATCTTGCTAGTTAGCGTTAAACATTAAACAACACTACTAGTCAACAAAAAATGGCGAATTTAACAGTAACAGACAAAAACCATTTGACACGAAATAAATAAAAAAAGTAGAATCTCCACATAAAAATGGAGTTTGTAAGTGTGATTGTTGCTTGTTTGTGACATTCTCATCACATTTCATTTTTAAACCTTATTCATGTCACTTTTTTTCATATAAGAGACCAGAGGAAGTTCAGCAGGAAATGATGAAGAAGGTGAGACAGCTGACCACCAGACCTGCTGAGGTGCAGGTAGGTGCTACAGTGGAGTGAGATTTTAGATGGTTGATGATGAGAGGAAGATTCGAGCATGATAACAAGTGAGCACGACTAAATAATACTATAACAACCATGATTTTAATATTGCACTAGTCGTCCAACAGTATTTTTACTCCTTATTCCTGGCCACTGTTTTTTTTTATTAGAGATCAGATGAAGTTCAGCAGGAACCAGTTGAGGGTGAGACAGGGAGAGCCAGACCTGCTGAGAGTGAGACAGGGAGAGCCAGACCTGCTGAGGGTGAGACAGGGAGCGCCAGACCTGCTGAGGGTGAGACAGGCAGCGCCAGATCTGCTGAGGGCGAGACAGGGAGCGCCAGACCTGCTGAGGGTGAGACAGGGAGCGCCAGACCTGCTGAGAGTGAGACAGGGAGCACCAGACCTGCTGAGGGCGAGACAGACAGCACCAGATCTGCTGAGGGCGAGACAGGGAGCGCCAGACCTGCTGAGGGTGAGACAGGGAGCACCAGACCTGCTGAGGGCGAGACAGGCAGCGCCAGATCTGCTGAGGGCGAGACAGGGAGCGCCAGACCTGCTGAGGGTGAGACAGGGAGCGCCAGACCTGCTGAGAGTGAGACAGGGAGCACCAGACCTGCTGAGGGCGAGACAGGCAGCACCAGACCTGCTGAGGGCGAGACAGGCAGCACCAGATCTGCTGAGGGCGAGACAGGGAGCGCCAGACCTGCTGAGGGTGAGACAGGGAGCACCAGACCTGCTGAGGGCGAGACAGGCAGCGCCAGATCTGCTGAGGGCGAGACAGGGAGCGCCAGACCTGCTGAGGGTGAGACAGGGAGCGCCAGACCTGCTGAGAGTGAGACAGGGAGCACCAGACCTGCTGAGGGCGAGACAGGCAGCACCAGACCTGCTGAGGGTGAGACAGGGAGCGCCAGACCTGCTGAGGGTGAGACAGGGAGCGCCAGACCTGCTGAGGGTGAGACAGGGAGCGCCAGACCTGCTGAGGTGCAGGTAGGTGCTACAGTGAAGAATGAGATGGTTTTAGGTTACTGATAAGAGGAAGATTTGAATGTAATAATTAGTGAACACAGTTAAATATATGTAATTCCATAACAAGTAGGACTGGGCAGTATGGTTTAAGAATAAATTACATTCTGTATACACTCCCTTAGAAATATCAGAAAAATAAGTGTTAAACTCTGCTTTCTGGTGCATTTAGACTGCAATTTTGGCCACTGTTTGTTTCTTTTGTCCATCTGAAAATTAACGTAGTTCCAGCTGTTGTTGTAAGTGAATTATTTCTTTTTTCATTCTGTCAGAAACAAACAGATTGTTCTGATTGATGGTCAGCATTGTTGGCTGATGTAGTTTAAAATATTCTGATGAGTCAGATCAATTCAGACTGAATATTCACAGCTTTAGTCTTGTATTAAATCTGTTTACACATCTCTACCCATAGGAATAAGATAATATGTCCTACATTCATATTATTAAAATATATCCTACATTCATATTATTAAAATATATCCTACATTCATATTATTAAATAAAAATAAAACACTACTGACACATAAACAGCTTTTTTATAATTAAAACGTCCACGTTGGCCGGTAATCACCTGGATCTGGCTAATGGGGAGTAAGTAAGTAAAAGTTTATTTATAGAGCGCCTTTCACAGACATAAATCACAAAGCGCTGTACAACATGATAAAGATCAGGGCAAATAAAAAACATCAGAAAAACAATAGCAGTGTTAAACGTAGAAAATAAAATCATGAGTATAAACAAAATGAAGGTGTGAACCCAAACAAAGCCTTCTTTTTGAAACATTTAGGGAGGGAACGCCTGGATGAAAAGGTGAGTTTTTAGATGATTTTTAAAGACCTCTACAGTGTTAGAGAGACGGAGATTTGAAGGTAGACTGTTCCAAAGTCTGGGTGCAATAGTCTGAAAGGCCCTGTCCCCTTTGGTTTTCAGTCTGGTTCGAGGAACAGCCAGGAGGTTTTCAGATGTGGATCTAAGGTTCCGTGAGGTGATGTGTGGGGATAAAAGCTCTGATAGGTAGCTTGGAGCCTGGTTGTTAAGAGCTCTTTAGGTCAGGACTAAAACTTTAAACTGTATTCTATATTCTACCGGGAGCCAGTGGAGGGACTGTAAAACTGGAGTGATGTGAGCTCGTCTGCTGGATGTGGTTAGGAGTCTGGCTGCTGCATTTTGGATGGCTTGAAGGCGTGAGAGGGAGGTTTTGCTGAGACCAGTAAAAAGAGCGTTACAGTAGTCTAAGCGTGATGACACAAAGGCATGGATGATTTTTTCCAGATCTGCAGTAGAAACCAGTTTACGGACTTTTGAAATGTTTCTCAGTTGACAGAAACAAGAGCGGGAGATGGTTTTGACGTGTGAGTCTAAACTTAAGGCTGGATCAAAAATAACTCCTAGGTTTCTAATGTTGGCCTTGGCTGATGGGCAAAAAGAGGCAATTTCTTGCTCGATTTTTGGCTGAAGTTCCGGGGGTGCAGCAATCAGGGTCTCTGTCTTGTTAGCATTTAGGACAAGAAAGTTGCTGGACAGCCAGTTACTGATCTGGGTCAGGCAGAGTACAAGTGTGGCCAGCCTGTCCAACTGGTGTGGCATAAAGGACATATAGAGCTGAATATCATCAGCGTAGATGTGGTAGGAGATGTCTGGGAAAGACTGAATGATGCCAGCAGGGGCGTCGGACTGGGGTGGGAAAGGGTACCGTTTACCCAGGGCCCACTGCAGGGAGGGGCCCTGAGACAGCTTTGAATAAAAATGTTTTATTGTTGTTGTTTTTTCTCCCCAACTTACTTAATGTCTTAATAAACTTCCCTTTACCTGGATAAAAAGGTTAAGAAACAGAATTTAGCCTTAAAAATAATAACTGAATAATCTCTGAGGTAGGGCTGCAACTAACGATTATTTTCATAATCGATTAATCTGTCGATTATTTTTTCGATTAATCGATTAATCGGTTTGTTATTGTTTAGCTATTTAACCTATACAAGTGATGGATGCATTTCAGTTAAGAACAAAAAAACATAAGAGAATTGTGCAGTTGACTGCAATCTATTTTATTGCACATGAACACAGTCAGCAGTATAAAATGAGCTAAACAGTGCAAAATATCAGTCCAGAATAATTTTTAGCATTAGCTGGAAGCCTGCTCCTTCCACCATGGATAGTGGCCTCATGTCTTTTACCAGCATGTTTAGAATAGAGTTTGTAAGTGGTATGAATTGCTGGGGGGTGAGTGTCTTCTTCCCCATGTAGTTGTCCATCGTTGCTTGTTTTTTTCTGCATAAGAAACACAAATAGACTGAAATAAGTACACATATAAAATAAAGCAGCACACACACTACAACACTAAATCAATATTATATTATTTGAATTAATTAACAATATACAGTGATCATTTATTTTGAGGGTTACGTTCTACAAAATAGCCCGCAACAGGAGATATTCAGAAAAAAAGTAAAACATTTTTACTATTAAAAAGCTCTAAGTAAGAAGCTCATGAGGTTTTTACTTTGAGTCGGGAGTGTTTAAATTAGCCAGAGAAATGTGAAAAATGTTTATTTTGTGTAATACTGTTTAAGAAACATGATAAAAATGTGTTGTGAGGCGTTTTACAGCGTTAGATAGTAAAACAGCCTTTTAATAGTAAAAAAATGACTTTTTCTGAATTTCTCCTGTATTTAAAAATTGAAAGTGTACAACTATGCCGCGTTATATTCACCTGGACACAGCTTGTCTGTATATTTTTCTCCGCGGAGTTGTCCTTTTTTGAATGAGGAACATAGTTATGGGTTTGTGCCGTTTTTCTCTTAACGAGAACATTCTTATAAACAGACGTGCTAAATTTGGCAAGCGCATGATACACAACACGGAGGAGATTCACGATTGCATCTAGTCAATCAGAAGTAGAACACCGCAGACTGACGCGGCAAAAAAACATGTTTAACATCCACTATAACGAACTCAGCTAAAACACTAAGTCCAGCTTGTTTATTTTCTGTTACTTACCGGGCTGGCTCTTCCAAATGACGGCTCACTTGACCGCGGTGCTCTTCCTCTGCTGCATCAGCCCCCACATGCTTTCGTCTCAAATGTGCTCCCATACTCGTGAGGTTTTTGTCCGGGGTTTCTCTTCAGTTTTGTCGCTTCTATTTTTCTTCCGTATTTCCTCTTGTTCCGCCATCTCTCACAGCAAGATGAGCGTCAGTAACGTGATACGTCATGAAAACCGAGGGCACCTATTGGCTCATTTCTTCTTCTACGGCTCCACTGGTAGATCAGTGGCTCATTACTGCCACACACTGGCGGCAAATTTAACAGCTTGTAACCGATGTCAGATTGTGGTAAAAAATAGACTTTATGCGGTAAAATATGATTATTAAACAACTAATCGATGACTAAAAAAGTTGTTAACTATTTTAATAATCGATTATAATCGATTAAATCGATTAGTTGTTTCAGCTCTACTCTGAGGCATCTATCACCCCTTAAAAATGTGCAAAGTGGTTTAGTCCACACCACGGCCAGGGGCTGCACGGCCGCATATACAGCTATGAGACATCGCAGATGCCGACAGCCAGAGCTGGAGGCAGGAGAGTCAGTCATGTCTTTTTCCCAAGAAAGGGAAATCTGGCTTCCAGAAAAGAAAAGAAGGAGAAGGAGGAAAAGTTAATTGAACAGAAGCAAGTAGAAGGACGGTGAGCAGCAGCAGCAGAACACAGTTTTAGCTGATATTAGCTAGCTCTCAGAAGCTGCATTCATGTTAGGTGTTCAGTGTTAAACACCTTTAGTTTCACCATCAAGATCAAATATAAATTAATTAGTGTTATCAGTGATAACACTAATTAATTAATATATATATTAATCAGAATTATTATCGCGGGTGGCCGCCGCCAATTAATTCGCGGACCTCGCAGTAAAAACAGGTTCACTCTGTGTGGATATTTCAGCTCCTTCCCAGTCATGGACCAGGACAAACTTGGT